AGCAACTGATCCTATTTAATAAAAATAAAATAAAATAAAAACAGCAAGAACTTTTTCAAACCAATTTTCATCATTTTTCTTTTGTGTTTCATAATTTCTTGTAATTAAGTAATGAAAGGCTAGTTTTTTCCAACAATATTTATCATCTAACGCTTGAGCAATTTCCGATGCAATCTAAATAATTGAAACTAATTCTAAAAGAAAAAAGCACACAATAAATTTACATTCTGTTGGACAATATACGTGCATCAATAACATAAAAAAAATTGCATCAATTAGGAATCAATATAAATCGAAAATTAATATTACAAAAATAAATCGTTATAAAAAGTAAGAATGTGTGTCACGACTCTTTATCCAACTCATGACTATACCTAATACTAACAGAGCATTTTATAAAATATTAAACGATGATGATTCCTTGGCTGAATTCGTTCGTGAACATAATTTAGTCAAAAATGCTGATCAACATACATGTCACTGTGGTTCTTCAATGACCAATGCATCAAGGAAAAAAAAATTAAAAGATGGTACCATTAAAGTATATCCAATAATGAGATGTGACAACAGATTATGTCGTAATCAGCTAAGTATTCGAAAAGATACATTTTTCTCCTATACTGATGTTCTCGGTCGTCCTAATTCGAAACTCGAGATACGAACGATACTGGAAATGATATGGTTATGGTGTCTATCAACTCCGTCAACAGTTATTGCTACCTTAGTTGAAGTTACAGAAGCAACAGTGGTCGACTGGACTAATTTTTTGCGCCAGGTAAAAATCCTCGTAATAATTAAAATTGTTTAACTAGAGATAATACATATTTAGATTTGTCAAGCGAAATTAGATGATGCTTCACAAATGGGAGGTATTGGGGAAGTGGTTCAAATTGATGAATCTCTATTTCGTGGAAAACGAAAATATCACCGTGGACGACTTCTTCTTGGTGATCGTAATGTAAATAATGTAAATAATGTAAATAATGTTAATAATGTAAATAATGCAAATAATAATAATAATGTTAATAATGTAAATATTAGTTCAAGCTCAAGTGATGAATCGGATGTCGATAATGATGGTACTCAAACAGCCAGAAGCCGTAATTATGGGACCCGAGTTGATGGTAAGAAATATTCTACTTAGGCGATTACCCAGGTCGAACATTACTGTGCCAGTAAACGGCCGTACACAGTCGTTTACGATGACGTGAACGGCCGTATCCGTCGAAATTACGACCGTATACGGGCCGTAAATAACCCGTTTGGTATGCGCCGTATTACGGTCGTGTGAGACCG